ATAATGTTTGAACAACGGGGCTGGGGGATTGGTAGGATTTTCTTTTATTTCCTCCCTCATCGGGGTCCCAAGGACCCTTTGTGAGCAATAGAATAACGGGGTGCGACGAGACATGTGCGTTCCAAAATTATCTGGGAACCTTGGCACCTATTTGGCGTGTGGAATCAAATTTCCAAACACCTTGCTCGCGCCGAGGATGGGACTTGGCAATTCATGAAGCATCCAGACCCTTTGGTGCCAATCCATTGACTAACCAATGCCGGTGTCTAGATACTTGTACTTCATAAATTGCTCAAGTAATGCCCCTTTCGGCCCTCACACACTTTTAGTAAGTAAGAATGGCCATAAATCCGACTGTGACCTGGCCAATACCCCAGCAGCTATTTGAAGAGTGGCTGTCAGGATTCAAGTGGACTTTTAGGTCGCTTTGCGACTCATTCCTGGAACCGCTGTTGACTCAAGCGCTTGAAAGCTTACGAAGGGATAGCACTCATACGCCCAGAGGTGGGCTCCTTGGCCCCAACACTCTGGAACGGCTTGTGATAACCCATGCTCGGGGGCGGGTCCCCCCCCCTCCCTCCTCGCTTGGAACGGCCTAAGTTATGTATGCGAGGCAAACCCGAAGGTATCAGAGGAGTGAGGGTTAAAAATGAAATGAAAAAGTGGGTACAGTACCGTATTGTATGTAGCACTAATTCGCATGGACGAGCCAACTGGTGGAAGAGAAGTAGGAAAGGTTTTGTGGGTAGTAGGGCAGGGGAAGAAGGGGGGGTTTGTTGAATGAATGAGAGCGATGCCCGGCGGCGGGAGGGAGAGGACCTCGTGAATCGCAAACTGGAGAAAATGTGCGTTAGGTTGGATTGGATTGTGAGTTACACAGATGCCCTCTGGTGGCTTTTGATTATTCCTTCGTACAACTCGAGTACGGTAACTCTTGTCTAGATAGGGGTGAAAAATTGTCATAGTGAAAAGGGGAGAGGAGGATAGCCACCCGTACTTGTACGAGTACTGTGCTCTAAAAAAGAAAAGATAACGACTGAAAAGGGAGATAGGAATAAATTTACCGGTACGCTAGGAGGAAAGGTTAAGGGAGAGGACCAAGGATCAACGATTCGTGATTTTCACTTTTACACTTCTCTCTGGCGAGGGGAAGGGACATGAAGGGCGTAGGAAGTGATTGGCCGAATATAAGTTTCCGTCGGCTTACTCGTAGACGGATTAAAAACGAAAAGCACCTTCTTCCTTCTTGCCCCGGTTTGATTCAGATTGTACTAACTCGTACTGTAGTGCCAAGGAATCAATCAATCAACAAAGCACTGGATATCAAGATAACGACCACAACGTACCGGTAACTCCAAGTGCTGATGTTGAGGATAGTACCGGTATGTGCGATAGTTATCCAGTTTATGATAACTCACCGTTGCTCGTCTAATTAACATTAACAATTGCTAACGAAGCCCGAATTGGGGGGAGGAGTCAAGAAAATGGTGATAACCGGAGGCCTGTTAACCTTTTTTTACTCAATGTTGTGCATGCAGACAACCAACCAACCCTATCATACCCTCCCCACCACCACCACGAACCCATCATGACCCCCCCCCGCCACCTCTGCCTCTCTCTCTCACACCCTCATGAGTAGACAGTTACGAGGGAGACAAGGGATCATTGGTCCCGATGCTACGACCCGTGTCCGCGGTCGCGAGGTGAGAGCCTGGTCGCCAAAGATGCAGAGGAGGAAATTTTCAACGCGTCTATCTGTTTATTTAAATCAAATAAGAGGCGCGTGTATCGAGTAAAGTAGGAAGAAAAGGGAAATCTCCCTTTTGGACTCTGTCTGTGTAGCATAGGAGGATTATTATCCGGCTGTGGTATGGTATAGTATGATATCAGTTTTGTTTGTTTTCCTCCTTGTATTTATCGAATCTTGATGCCGAATACGGTACTGCTACGATACGCACGATTGGTACTACTACCAGCTGGCAGCATAAAGCAAATAAACTGATAACTGCATGGTAGATAAAAGTAATGGGGTACTGGTACAGCGAGTTATCCATAGGGTGGGGATTTTAAAAATAAAATAGTGTAGCGTTTGAAGATGTCGATTCCACCTGGGTCTCTGGGAACGGATTTACCTGTGAAAAAAGTAAGAAAGGATGGACAAAATATTCCATATCTGAACGAACACCTTCTGCGCTGACGGTGTCGAGTGTCTCTGATTTTATTTTCTTCTTTTATTTTATTTTCTTTTCGCACGCACCTATATAACCTTATTATTATTACATATTACGGATGAGCGGGAAAATAGACCCATCTCTCTCTTTTTTTTCCCCTTCTTGTTTCTTTCTTTTTTTCTTTCCCCCGGTGCTCGATTTCCCCTTGGGTTTCTTATCCCCCTTGATCTAGGAGCCAAAGAGGTTCGGCCCTCTCACGGTCTACACTGCCGAGGAGGCACACGCATCCGGCAGGCTGGGGCAGGGGTGGGCAGGGTTGGATGAGAGGGCAGCATAAAAAAAGAGAGCGAGTGGGAACATACCGGTGGAGCGAGTGATGTCAAATCAAAGTGAGCGAAGCGAGGGGGGGTAAGATAACTAGCGACATAACTTACTGTATCCTCTTTTCCCTTCTTCCCCTTGTCCCTCCCAGCAGCAAGGGTTATTATATTTTATTTACTGTCCGAGCGAAAGGGTATAGAGAGCGTGATACCGGTATGCGTGAGCGAGAAGAGATGCTGACTTACCTTGATTGAACTTTGACGCCAGACGCCCCTCTGATGGACTTGGAGTGGTCTCTCATCCATCTGCAGAAAACTGTCGTACGGTGTTTCCGTCGTCATGGAATTCGAAAAGGATTCGCATGGCCAGGGGCATTGACCCTAGCAATAAGTTTTCGCCAACAAGATCGTGGTCAGTAAGGCCCCCCCCCTCCCGGCCCTCCGATTACCCTACTCGAGTACAGTTGGCTACTCGAGTACTCTTAACTCTTGTCTCGCCCTTTTTTTCCCCCTTCCCTCCCCATTCACCACCCTGGTCAAAAAAAAATTTGATCCCAATTTCCTCTATTTTACCGGTACCGTCTTCCCAAAAACCTCATACAGGACAAGGGCAGGTACTGTATTGTACCAGCAGATATGTCTTATGCTTAGCTCGGTTTGATCAATATCCATACCGGTACAGGATGAATGATGATAGCGGATGGGTGTTAGGAGAGAGGCCTTGTGCAGATCTATGGCAATTGTTGGTTAGCTTTGTTACATCTCTGCGTGCATCTATCTCATCCTCCCACTCGCTTGACAGGCGTGCAGGTAATACCAGTACTTGCGCGGAGCCCCCTGGTTCGTTCGTCCCCTTCGGGGCCAAGGTGGAGGTGGTGCACCTTTCTCCACCAACCATGCCTCACCAACAAGCCAACAAGAGAAGAAAGGGCTCATGGTCAATTGATCTCTTTTTCTCCCCCTACTCAGAGCACTTTTCCAGGCAGGAAGAGAAAAAAAGCAAAGAAAACGACAAGCAGGTGCAGCCGCACTATTCCTAGTTCATTCTTCCTTTCCCATTATTCTATCCCACCCCTCTCCTCCACTAGCTCCTCTCCAGTTGCCCGCCTGTTCAGCTTTCTCCGCACGAGTGAAAGGGACAGATGGCAGGAAGGGGGGGAGTGGAGAAAAATAATAATTTAAAAGCTATTGATGGGATTGGAAGGGCTTTATGTGACCAATAAACCGTCCGTTGCTAACTCTATCGTTCTCAGCAAAAGAATCAGCATGGAGTGATCGATGCTTCCAAGCCAATTTTTATTGATCGCATTTCCCCTTTGAGAACCTCCAATCTCTCCTCAATATTCGTTCTCCTCTCCGTGTCTTCATCATAGCACCGTAACGGATCCTAACTTTCTCACTTGCAATGCCTCTCCATCTCCCCTAGAAACCAGGGGATGGAATAATAACAATAACAATAATACTTGTATTTATCTATCGGGAGAGTGAGAGAACGAGGGGAAAAAGCGATGCTTGATCTCTACCCGGTCTTGCTTCGCTATGTGTGGCTCTCGCCGTAGGGCGCTCCGGCGAGCAGCCCCGTCCGAGTTTTCCTCGCCATAGATTATGTACGAATCACGACTCTTGAGCACAGACACATTGCTCGAAGTATTCGCGCCCCAGCAGATCCCAACGGAGGGGCTGAAGGGAAGGAGTGCACGAAGCCTGGGTTGGACGGAAGGGAAGAATGCGCCGGGAAGAGGACAGACGGGGATGGATGGGTGGATGGGTGGATGAGGTTCATGGAAAGCAGGCCGAATTGCCTGGTCCTCCGCCAGTTTTTACGTACCCCGGAAAACTCCCCCCTCTCATCCTCTCCTCGCCCCTCCTGCTCTTAATATTATCTATTTTTCACTACCCCCCCCCCGGTAGACAGACTGAGTTTTGGCCTTGTATTGAGATTGAGTGTGAGTGAGTAGTGTGAGTAGTGTGTGTGCGCGTGTGTTTATTTTGCAATCCCACAGTACGAGTACCGTACTCGAGTATGACAATCCTTTGCCTTCCATCCACCACCAACCCCCCCCACCCCACTAAACCACTACTGCCTCCACGCTTCCCATAACTGCAGATAGGCCCCAGGCGGGCGGTTTCACAGTTCACAAGAAGGCAGAGAGTCCGCCAAAATGGTCGAAACAAGACTTCCCAGTTACCGTATCCCTTGGGCTCGTCCAGCGTACGAGTACTTGCACACCTCCCCAAAATCCATACACCATCACACCCCCCCTTCCCCTCCTCCTTCTCCTTCCCCCTTCATGTTCCTCAAAGTACAAGATATACATCATCCCGTCAGTATTCGATCGAAGATTCGCCGAGCTGCAATGCATGCAAGCAGCAGTGGTAACTTCTTTTAATTCCTTTTTCTTGTTTTGGCCAGGGATCTCTCCCACGCCGCCTCTGGTCGTCACCTGCTCAGTTCTACTACGGTACCGTACCCTTCTCTCTCTTTTTGCCCCAGGTCACAAACCCACCCCCTCTTGCTCCTGCCTGGCCTTGCATGTAAGTATATGACCAACGCCCTCCTCCTACTACTGGGTGACGCCGTGCGGGTGGCAGAAGATACCGGTACTCCAAGGTCAAGCAAAACTTCTTTCCCTTCATTCACTCCGTGTGGGGGAGGGGTGTTATAAGTTGGACATCAGCTCTTCCAACAAGGCGCAGCTCTTGCGGTCCATTGAAAGCACGACCGACGGTCCGAGACGCTTAGCCCAGCCTCCTGGATACAGATCCTACCCGGCAAAAGGTTTTCCTGGTAGTCTTACCTTTCCCCTACCCTCTTCGAACCCCAGGCACGCTCATAAAGTCACAACCGCAATTCTGGCATTAGCAGTGGCATCAAATCCAGCCCGTGTCTGGCATCGTGACAAGATCCATCGGTTGGGTGGCCCTGCACTTGGGACAATGGACATCTCTGGCCTGGTATATCGTACAAACGAACACTCGGCTTCAACATCTACGTCATCACGAGGAATCATGGCTCCTCACTTGCCCATGAATGCTCAGCCTTTTGTTCAGAATCAGATGGGAGACTTCGACGCGTATCCAACACAGTTTAGCTTCGATACCTCCCAAGTCCCCCAATACCAGAATGTCGGTGTTGTAGGGCATCCGCAACCTGGATTTCCCCAACCATACCCACCACCGCAGCAGCAACACCACGCAAATCCTCATCATGGACAAACTCATCCTCACACCGGCCCACATCCTCATCATCCCCATCACCAACCTCATCCTCATCCCCAGCAAGCTCATCCTCACCCTCATCCCCACCCGCATCATCAACAACACTTGTCACATCCTCATCACCCGGGTATTCAGCCCACACCAACGGTCGTTTCCCACCGACTCCCTCAAGCCCAGCAGCAGCAAGCCCAGCAGCAGCAGCAGCAGGCTCAACAGGCCCAGCAACAGCAGCAGGCGGCAGCAGCCCAGCAGGCTCAACAGCAAGCCCAGCAGCAAGCCCAGCAGCAAGCTCAACAGCAGGCCCAGCAACAAGCCCAACAACAACAGCAGGCCCAGCAACAAGCCCAACAGCAGGCCCAGCAACAAGCTCAGCAGCAGCAGCAGCAGCAGCAGCAAATCCCCCCGGAAAACCGACGGAGACCGGCTAACATAACGCGACAGCAGCCTCCGGCAAAGGCAGTTGTTCAAACTCAGAATCAAAATGCTAGGTCCATGTCTTATCAGTACCCCCATTCTTCGCCACCACGGGGGAGTCCTGGCTCGACAAAAGTTTCGAACCCCAACCACGACGTTGACTTTCAAACAGACGTCGATACCCTAATGAAGGCGATACAAGCAAGGCAACCTGTGGTAATAAAAGCCGAATCAAATTCACCTTCACCAGTTTACCCCCAGCCCCGACAACCACTAAAGAACACCCCAGTAACACCGATTCATCCAGTTGGTTTTCAAAACAGATCACCCTATACAAGCAATCCCTACGGTCAGAATGGCTATCCACCCCAGCTCGGCAGCAATCTTCAGGTACAAGCGTCGGGGAGCGGGCTTGGTGTCCCCAAGTTATTGGCAGAGGATGAGGACTCACCATCCAGGGGGGGCAAGGAAGAAAAAAAAACGGGCTCTCAGAAGGCGAAAAAGAGATACGAATGCGATGTTCCTGGTTGTAACAAGAGCTTCTTTCAGAAGACACACCTCGATATTCATTCCAGGGCCCACACCGGAGATAAACCTTTTGTTGGTTTCCCCCACTCTTTTCTCTTGATCTTCCCCACTTTGTTTTTGACGGAGGATCATTTCCCCCCTTTGTGGCTGCCGTGATCATCTCCTCACCCTCAAGAAAGTTGGTAGTGCTAACATTAAAAATAGCCCTGTAGTGAACCTGGATGCGGCCAGCGATTTTCCCAGTTGGGTAACTTGAAGGTCCGTTATTCTCCTGTGCTTAGATTCTGCCCTTTTTTACCTGTGTTCTGTATCCTGGGGATTTAAACCCTTATCCACGTACCTATGATCGTTTTTTGATTTGTGATATTCTCTTTAGACACACGAGCGTAGACACACTGGCGAAAAGCCCTATTCCTGCGATTTTTGCGGTAAACGGTTTGCTCAGAGGGGCAATGTTCGTGCTCATAAGATTGTACATGATGGCTCAAAGCCCTTCACTTGCCGGTTGGATAACTGTGAAAAACAGTTTACGCAGTTGGGGAATCTCAAGGTGCGGGCGTCCCCTACTCCTCCTAAGGCCCATTCGATGAATTGCGGGTGATATTCCATGTTTCATTTTGACTACGCATTTATTGACGCTTACCCGTCATGTGTTCCACAGTCCCACCAAAATAAGTTTCATGCCGTAACGTTGCGGCAGTTAACGGAGAAGTTTGCGCAAGTCCGGGACGGTGACGACATTTCAGTGGCGGACAGGGAGCTGTTCGAGTACTTTGCCGAACTCTACAAGAACTCGAATCGTGGCATCAAGGGGAGGGGGAAGGATAGGAAGATTACGGGCACAAAAAAGCCCAGATTGGCGGATGGGGAGATGGGTAGCGATGCTGGGCGTCATGCGGGTGGTGACATGCACTCGATGACCTCCCCAGGCGGTTCCTGCGGGAGCAACTCTAATCCCGATGGGGGATTCGATTTTTCGGCGGGGCATATGGACGAGGAGGATGAGAGTTCTGTGGATTCGCCGTACGAGCAGCAGCAGCTTCCCCCCATGAGGCCTGGTGCGGGACCGGTCGCAATGGTGACTATGGGTGCTTATCCTGACGATACCATGGCATTACATACAGACATGGCTAAATACAGCCTGGACCGGAAGTTTTAACGGTAGGATTTTTTTATTTTTTTTGAAAAAGGAAAGAACAAAAAAAGCTTATTTCTACAGTTTTATTTTGCGGCTCCGTAATATATCTCCTGATCTGCATAGCCGTTTGGCTGTGTTTCCTTTTTCTTTTTCTTTTTCTCTTTCTTTTTTTTTTAAAAAAATTTTTTTTTTTTACCCCTTCCTTTTAACCTACTACCACCTATTTCTTTTTTTTTTTCTTTTTTTTTTCTTTTCTTTTCTTTTCTTTTCTTCCTTCCATACCCCGTTGCTCGGTTCTGATCCGGGGTAATCAGGCGAAAAGAAAGGGAAAGAAAAGAAAAAGGGCGTTGGCCGATTAGCGGATTTTTTCATTTTTTTCAATCACCATTTCCCTTCTTTCCAACTTTTTATTCCTTTAGTGTAGGGTGCATTCATTTCTTTTTTCTTTTTTCCTAACTGTTCTGTGTTAAAAAAAATCTACCATCATGCAGCCGGTAATAATTCGAACCTTTTTTATCTTTTCTTTTTTCTTTTGCCCTCTACAGATTTTGTGCTTTTCACCCATCCTCCGGCCACGCTCTATTTTATTTTCTATCCCTATTGTATGTCCATCTGCCCATCCATCCCACAAAACGAAAGAGCGAGAGAGAAAAAGAGAAAGGGAACTGATGAAGAGGGCGAAGAAAGGAAGGAGGAAGGGAAAAAGAAAAAATCCGGAAATCTCGGCACAATTTGGGGGGCGCTTGCTTACTTATTTGCTTGTTCATTTTTGGCTTTTGGATTTTTTAGCTGGTGCTGTGGGTGCTTTTTTTCTTCTCGTGTTTGAGCATAGCTTGAGCTGTTGATTTTGATTTTGACTTTTCGATTTGAGTTTACAATTACCCCTCTGGTTCATTTTGTCCCGCTCCTCTCCACTTTGCTATGGTATGGGCTGGACCGGACTGGCTTGGTTGGGTATGGTATGGTATGATACGATAGCTACTCCTTCCCCCTTCTCTTCCTCTATCTTTTTTTTTCTTCGACAGGATGGATGTTTGTGGTGTGGGTGTGTGGGTGAGTGGGGGGGAGGAATGAAGAGAAATTTTTTTATTCCTCAACTTGATTGTGCCCAGAACTGTATCCACACTACCCTCCCTGGCCAACTCTAAGTGCGAATACTGTACCGGTACTCGAGTACTTGTTCAAGTACTAACTAGTTAGGCTAACCATGCCAGACTTCGAATACCCCTGTAGTTGATCTTCCATGCCTTGTTCTTGTTCTCTTGATAGTGATAAGAATGCGGTGTGCAAAGTGGCATCATATTGGGGAAAAGAAGAAGACATGCTGTAAAAATTTAATGTGGGTTTGCTAACCCATTTGATTTTCTAATCTCTCGAGTAACGTGGGGGCTGGTTTACTTTTTCTTCCCTCTCTTTTTTTTTTCTTTTCTTTTTTTTTCGTTTTTTCTTTTTTTTTTCTTTTACGCTTACTCCTTGAGACTTGTGGATGGATGGGTGGTTGTCTCATTTCTATTTTTTATTTTTTTCCTGCTGCTCACTTTGCTTTGCCTGCTTCGCGGGGTTTCTTCTGATTCGCGCGGGTTGGATGGTGGGAGGGTAAAGGACATGAGAGGATGAGTGAGGGCTTCACGTGCAAGTTTTCTTTTTTTTTTTTCACAATAATATTATTATGAGAGCCTGGTGAGTGTTGTATCCACTGGCGGCTGGTTCCACTGGCACCAATCTACTCTACGATACTGTGCAGCGCCGTGGGTCGGGTCTGTGGATATAGATACGGTACCATACTTATCCCGCTTTAACGCCGTCGAAAACTTTGAACAGCACCCTACCCCCAAAACTGGAACAATTGAGAATCAGGCTAGGAGGTCCAAAATTTCCAACTTTGGACTCGGGGAAAAGCAGTTGGCGAAAGATTGTCTTTCAGCACCGGTTGGGACAGATAGCGGTGGTATGCAGCAGCAGCAGCAGGCAGACCTTACCAGGGGAGAGAAAGTCCAACGTCCCAGCGACCTTCTCAATTATTGCTGTGCGCGGGTGCAGTAGATGTTCCAATTTTCGAGGTATGATATAACTAGTACCCGCCGGCACTTGTGCATTGCCTGATTGATCGATTGATTGGTTTGGTTGATTGGCGGATCGATTGACCGATCCCCCTTACCAGTATTACAGTGAAGAGTCAGTCTTTCACTGCTGCTGGTACTGAATCGTACTGTACAGTACGGTGCACTGCCGAGATGATGGTTCTCTTTTACTTTTTTACCCTTTTTTTTATTTTTTTTATTCTGCCTGCCTGCCTGCCCACCTGCTTGTCCGCCCATTCACTTCCGCCATTTCTCTCGATGGGCAGTAAAAGTAAATACCAGGAGTAAGGGAGAAAAACAAAAGGAGGGAGAAAATGAAAAATGAAAAAAGCCGCGTCTTATCCGCTCCCCGGTACTCGCCAATTCCGAAAAGTACCGTAGCGAGCCGTAATCGGGAATCCGCGCGCCTGCCTCCCCGCCTAGGAAGAGAATGACCACCCCCACAAGCTACGATATCATAAAAGATGTGGGGTCTTGGCGGTGAGATTTCCGGATACTTGGTACAGTACAGTACTGTAACTTTTCGGGAGCCAACGAGTAGAAGAGTACCGGTGGAGTGCGGCAGAGTAAATCCTCGTGCCGGTTCCTTTGAGAAATCCGAGGTTCCCGGTGCCGGCGTATATATCTAGTATGGTTTGTATGATATGATACCCACCACAACATGGTGACTTAAGAGAGAGAGAGCTTTATATAATACGAGCGAAATGGCGGAACAGGTAAGCATGTACGCGGGGGTAACTGTAAGACAATTAAATTTATTCCGGGATAACCCATTCTCGGGTATGGGCGTAGTTGCCGTCAGAGGGAAAAATGGATTTTTAACTTTGTGGAAGCGATGCCGGGAAGGGTGGGAAGCTTTGACATGGTGAAGCCTCTTTCGTCCGTCTCATCACCCACTGAACTGTACGAGTACGTCCATACCCGAGTACCGTACCAGTACACATGTATTTTGATTCCGGGACCGAATACAGTACCGGTATCCTGTTCCAGTCTAGGCCGGATGGATCTTGTGCGTATCATACTCCAGTTATGAATGTGTGTGTAAGCAGGTTTTTGTTACGGCGGGTGAGGCGTTTATTTCGTTATTCGGTTGTGGAAAAGTCGCGTTGCGGAGGGGACGGGTTCGGTTTGGTTGGTTGGTCCCCCCCCCCTTTTTTTTTTTCCCTTTTTTGTTTCGGGATCTTTTGTTCGTTGTTCGTTGTTGGCCCGTTGGGTTCAATTTTCTTTCCCTTGGCGAGGAGTTATTTTTTTTTTTTGTGGGATTGACTGTTTAAGGTGATACCGGTGGCCCGTCCGTAGTTTGTTCGGAATTGATTTCTGATTAATAGATGGGTATTATTATTGTTATCGTTATTATCATTTTTATTGATAGATGGGTTTTTAGTAACTTCTTGCTTCAATGAAACTCTCCCTCTCTCTCTCTCCCTTTCTCTCCCTCTCTCACTCTGGGGGGGGTACGTGCTGTAACTTACGTATGATAGTAACATGGTGTTTGTTTAATCTTTGCTATCGTATCAGGGTAGAGGTGAGATGGTGTAGTCAAGTCATTGACATGTTCATCTTCAATCTATCTCACCCCCCCCCCCGCATCCAAGACCGGGCCATATCCTTTAGCGATAGCTTAAAAAACCCTTAATATACCTCCACAATCACGAGCCTATCGTACTGTACTACCATTGACCTTTCCCATTCCCCCTCCCCCCTTCCCATCAACATCCCGATATTACTGTACTCGAGTACGGTACTCCCCTCACCAACTTTCAACACCGGTATCTATTTCCATCCATCCCATAAATACGAATTCCCTCCCCCCCACTCATCCTCCTCCTCCTCCTCCTCCTCCAGACGCCCCGGACCACGGTACGCTGCGATGCGGGTAGGGTAGGGTACGAGGTACAGTACAGAGCAAACCCACAAAGTAAGGAAACTTACATATTCACCCATCCATCTCGCCAGATGAAACGTGACCCACCCCTCCCTACCTCGCTTGCGGACGGAAGACCCGTTACACAAACACAAACACAAGCATAAGCATAAGCACGCCTAACGGGTCCTCTCCTCTCCTCTCCTGTCCTGTCCTGTCCTGCCCTGTCCCAGACATGGTCGTGACCCGGATTTGATTTCCTTATCCTTCGCCCCCCCTTCCTTCCCACCCCCCTTCGATGGGTAAAATGGGTAACTGGTAGAAAAGTGGTGGTGTACGGATGTGGTAGGTATCTACAACCCCACATTTTAACTCTTTGTGCACCTTTGATGGTCACGTGTGGGGTGGGTTTTTCGTGAAAGTGGGTAAAAGTGAGTGGAGTGCTTGTATGATAAGTGGTTCCCTTTGGGTTAGGCAGTGAGATGGTTTTACCGCCTGCAGTTTAGGGAAGAGAGAGGGGGGGGCAAAAATGGGAAAATGGGAACACGGGATTCTGGAGTTCTGGTTGGAGGGTCGGGGGGTTCCTCGAGCCAATCGGTTTCCGCCTTTCTGACCCCAGTTTTGCCTTTTTTTATTTTTTTTTATTTTTTACCGCAGGTTCTAGGGTAGCACATGGTAGGATGGTGATAGGGTGGGATCGCAACGGCGTCAAGTTAGGACGCGTCTGGTCATCATCAAAGGGTTTCTTGAACATTGACGAATGCAAACTGTGGGTTGCAAATGATGAGTTGATGATGGTTTGGCCCGAATGTAATGTGGCAGTGGCCTATCAGGTCACCCTTGACAAAATGGTGAGAGCTGTTGTTCTAATGTTATCCTGTAGATACAGCATCATGCTAATTCGAAGTACACTTCTGCTCTATAGCCATAAATCCTTCCAAATGGATTTATCCAACATGGCTTCCTATTGAATTGGATACTGTCCATTGGTTCCTACAAATGTGCTATAAAGCCGGCCTCACTGATAGGTTTACGGGAAGCACTGAGAGGTTTTGAATTATTGCAAAGTTTATTTCAATCATATCATACTTCCCTGCATTGCTGTGATGATTGGGTTAGGGCTCTTCATAGCTGCAGGTGGGGGAAATACCGGTCTGATCAATACCGGTACCGGTATTTCAAAAATGTTCCTTCCGGCTTCATCATCGCAACTTGGTTCTTGTATGATACCCCCAGTATCATCGACCAAATGTGCCACTCCAAGGCAAAATGGACAGTTTCACAGCAAACCTATATAAAATCGAGGTTGAGACAAGGCACGCGTGCAGTACTCGTACTCGAGTACGAGTACGGTGCTCACCTCACCCCCAACGGGCCGAAATCCAATCCGAACACCGGGTCCCCTTACCCCACCACCACCACCATAACGGACACTCCGATATCGACCGGCCAGGTATGCTCACCACACACCGCGAACATCGTATCACATTACCATGTGACCGCGACCACGATCCGATAGGCCCGCGCGCTAAGGGAAAAGCAGTGAAGCAGGTGGGTAAGTAGGTACAGTACTCGTGCGGTACTCGTACAGCGCAGTACGGTAAGTAGGTTTACGGGACGGACAAGACTTATGCTAACGGTACTTGCATCGGATGCACGAATAAGGGGCTGGCCGGCCAATTATGTAAAAAAAAAAAGACGGAGAATAACCATTTTGGCGGCCTATCAGTTATTGTGATGTGATGTGATGTGATGGATGGGAAATACGATACTCTGGCTCGCACGGTTTGCAAATACGGGAATGGGAAATGGGAATGCTTATGCTATGCTATGCGCTACCATTCCATGCCATGCCATGCCGTAGAACTACAAGTAACTCGCTCGGTACTTTTGCTGCTCCGCATGCATGGGGGGAGAGGAAGAGAGGTTGATTGGATTCATCGATTGATTAGATGGCACTCTAACAGCGATAGACTAGATACGGACGGAACCCTACGGACAGGACAGGGCTGGAACTGGAACTGGACATAAGTGCAGATAAGATACCGTACAGTACCGTTACTGTACTCGTACCGTACCTAATGCTGGATCTTTTCTTGGGAAAAAAAAAAAAGAGAGAGAGAGAGAAAAAGAAAAAGCTTCTACTCTAAATTAGCGAAAGTTTACTTGTACTTCTCGCAATGTTACTCGTAGTAGGATACCGATGGCAGAGATCTTGTCTGTCTGCGGGACGGAGTCAGTTCAGTCTTCACCGTGCCCACCACCGGATGAAGAGCAGGAATAATTTACTACTGGAGGGAAATCGTCAAGGTAGGGTAACAAAAAAATTTACTCGCTGATGATCCCTGTTTGTCGCCGGCACAGGTTCGTCGTGAAGACTTGTGTTGAAAAAAGGTCCATGAATCGGACCAGTCTTGTGCCTGCGGAGTGTACGTACGGCAAGGAACGATTGCACTGTGTCCCATCCAACCACTGGTATCACCGATAGAGAGAGAGAAATAGAGAGAGGCAGAGGAGAAAGTCAATTTATGGTGCCATCTTTTAGGTTAGGTTAATCGCCCAAAAAAAAAAAAAAAAAAGATACCCGCCTCACAACCTCTACCATCTCTCTTTCTCTTCCATTACCGGGTAGTGCTGTATGCACCGATACCTACATTCACTTGGATCACAGATTTTAACACTGAGCGAGCCATCTAATTCTGATTGATTAATCCCCCCTTTTTCTTTTTGGCTATAAACCACTTTACTGGTGCAAATACAATTGAAGCTATCATACTTTGTACCGAGATTAGAGTTGGCGAGCAGTTAATTCGGGTTAACCTGCAAAATGATCCCCGCCTTGTACTGTACTCGTAATGTACTTTTACGAAAACATCTTCCCTATTACTTGTACAACACTTGTAGTTGGCGGGCCAATCTGAGTCCCTGCCGTGGCGTCAAAAAAATAAAAATAAAAAGGGAATTTGAAGAACTGGCAAACTGGCGGCCTTTAGGAAATGGTGAATATGTGCGACTACTTGTTCGTAGACATTTTTACTTTGTTTTTATTTCGTCTCCGCTTCCCCGGCCCTCCCGGCTAGCTGAGATAGTGCCGGATGTTTCACCCAGCCTAACCGCATGCCTTGTACTCGAGTGACAATCACAAAAGCTGAACTGTGTGCTAGGTACCGGTACCATAGTCCAAAATTCCCATCTCCAGGAAAGGTATGGAGGGTGTATGATACCGTATTGTACGGTAGCAAAAGGTGAGCTGTTTAGCCTCTCTGGGGGCAGCTCGGGTGGCATAGCACACGGTTCAATTATTTGAGATTCTATTATCGCAGGAACCTTTCACGTCAGCTCCAACCCCCCCTCGCGCCCTCTCACCATCATCCATTTTTCACTTCAACTCCCACCCTCCTTCCCGGCTTCCCCCGTGAGTGAGGGAGATCTTCAGCATCCCAGCAAGGTGACACGTCTGTGGTTCCATAAACCCATCCATGCCACTCGAGTACTCGTACCGTACTCTTCCCCATAATCCTGTCCAGCCCTGGCCGAAATATGATTTTTTCTCTCTCCCCTCCCTCTTTTTTTTGTCATCTGCTGCTCCTGCGGCACTGTGTACTCGCAAGAAGTACTCGTACGCACAAGGCGGGCGACCCTTTTTTGCTTTGTCTTACCTCATTGGAGGTAATACCGGGTATTCTCATACACGAGGAAGGTGATGCAAGTGGACGGCAATACCCGTGCTAGGTTTGGCGCCAAGCTAACAGGGTAAAGGAACAAAAAAGATTTTAGTCAAAAAAAGCTCACTTCAAAAAACGCGACAAGTTTATTCGAGTCTCAGGTCAAACCGGGACATTGAAATGCGCTATTGCACGCTGCAAAGACAGAAGCTTTGCTTTTTCCCCACCCTTTTGGAACACCAAGGTCCTTGACCGGGTTTCCTTCGATTTAGGGCGGGGGCGTGAATGAGGCTTGGGGTAAGTGATGAGAAAAAAGCAAGCAGGAAAAAAAGCAACAAAGACATTAGGGATCCAGACAAGCCCAGGGATATCCCCTGTCGTAAGTTCTTTTTCATGCGGAATGGGGTGCTCCAAATATGCTGCTCGAGCAGTTGGGAACGCAATCAGGAAATAGTGGCATGAGAGACAATGAGAAACCTACCCTTTGTAAAAGCCGGTGAGCCCCTCCCTCCTCCAAATCTTCACGACAGCGTCCCGAGCGGATGAGTATACAGCATCGGCATCATATGTCTGCATCCTGGTCTGCACAACCCTGTAGGGATATATTATCGACCCTGAAAGTATCTTTGATGCAGCCGACAAGGTCAGAAAGTCAGTGTTACTCAGTCCTCCTCCAACCTTCTCGCTCCTTCCATCTCCACCTCCGTCGCTAATACTGTTATTGCGCTCGCGAAGGCGCCTCCTCCACAACTTCAGCTCCTCGTAGAACATGAATTGCAGCGCTCCCTGGCCAACTCCGAAGAGCGCAGGCACCAAACCACGGAATAATCCACGTGTACCCTCATCACGGAGGATGGTTCGTAAGCCGTCTGTAAGACCTAAGTAAGCCCCAGGAACCGACCGACCCGAAGAGAGCATCCGCGTCTTGACCACCCAGAGTGGATTCGTGCAAATCGCTGTCAAGACACCGGCAGTCCCGGAAGAGAGTAGGTAATCGATTGAGGAAAGGCCTCCTTGTTTATGATTTGTCACTCTCGATTTGATCTCGCCATACCTTTATCGCTCACCACACAACCCAGCCGCATTTGAGTCACAATCAGGAACCGAACTTTCAAACTTTCAAAAATAGACAAGAAATGAGAGGGAAAAAAGGAAAAGAAAAAAACAAGGTCACCGGTTGTCAAGAAGGGTGTATATTTGATTTCGCACCAGTGACAAAACCTTGTGGCAAGACGAGACATACAGCATGAAAAACAAGCCCCAGCTCGTCATGTTACCCGCCAGGTTTGGTGAGAAGCCCCGATAAAGCGCGCCCCTCCCCTCGTTTGCAACAACATTACGAGCTATCCTCCACGTTGCTCCAAGCTTTGGCGTTCTGCTTTCCCTGTCGACTGCTCCCAGAGGTTCTATAAATTAGAACGGGCCAATTCGAGTGTTTGATAAAATCCTGCAACGAGAAGAGGGTAGGAGGCAAGCAAGGGTAGCAGAAAGAACACTTACCTTGCAACCTAACTTTGACGAGGTCTAATGGGTGAGCAACAAGTGTCGATAGGAAACCTGCTGTGAAACCGGCGATTGTCTCCACCAGAATGGAGGGTATCCAATTCTGGTGTTCTTTCATGGAGAATAGTAAGATAACAAGGGAAGGAGGAAGGTGGGGGAGGGGTGAAAGAGAGAAGTAGAAATAAAGAAGGCGTGGGGGGATTTTGTTCCTTGATGAATGAGTGATGAACCATTTTTTCCTTTAGAGCCTCACACGTGGGATGTGTAAGGGGCATTCCTCCCGGTAGTGGGATAGCACGAAGGTGGAAAGAGGAAGGGAAAAAAAAAAAAAAAAAGCAAGGTATGATAGGAAATAAAAAAGAAATACAGTAGTCAAAATCAAACCTATGATACACCGAAAGAAGGTTTTTCTTAATGCCCTTCGCCCTTGGTACAAGATGTACCCAGTGTTACGGTATTGCCGCAACATACCACGTACCGGCATGTCATTATTCGTACTTTGTGTGCTTTCCAGTCTGTACTGTACCGTGCCTTGTGACTTCTGACCCTGGTGGTTTGTTTTTCTGGCGGAAAAATAAAAATAAAAAACGTCATCTATGTAATATTGACTTAAACCTCAATATGAAATGATACAGGGAAACCCCTTTTATCACTATAAGTGGTCACTGTATCCAAGTAAAGTGGGGTAAGCTGGAGTGTATTTCTATAATAACTAGTAGATTCGATCATTACTGTCGTACAGCGCAAAAACTCGGCGTCAGTTTTAAGAACATCAACATGCCCACCCTCATGGCCGCTGGCTCCCACCATCATTCCCAATATCGCACCCTTCTACGCCAGAGGAGATATCAAACTGAGCGATCCAACGCATCAGCACCTATTGTTTCTATAACTATTATCCGCCGGAAAATAGAAGCACTTACCGAATCAAAGAAGGTTTCGGCGTGCTGCATGAGTAACCTACACAAAATCCAGAGTCAGCGATCCCGATTTCTAGGCAATCACCAAATCGATAGGCGTCATTTATTCCACATCAAGCCAGTAGACGGGTGGTGATACCGAGGTAGAGCACAAACGGTAGATAACCACTATTGCGCAAAAAATAATAATCGAATATAAGCAACAACCCGACTTTCGAAAATGCTACTGCAGAGCTCGGTCAAGGGGAGGGAAAAGACGAACTAATGCAATGCCACTCGAGAGATTTCGAGAACCCTGGAGATTCGTTCCTATTACGATCGTATCAGATGGTTAACTTTGCTTTTCTCGCGGTGGTGTGTGGAACAAAAGTGGATAATGGAGGGAGAGGGGAGGTAACAATGGTAGACTCACAACGTGTTACGGAATTCCCTCT